TTGCTGCTGCAGTTGCTGCTGCAGTTGCTGCTGCAGTTGCTGCTGCAGTTGCTGCTGCAGTTGCTGCTGCGGTCGCTGCTGCAGTTGCTGCTGCAGTTGCTGCTGCAAGCGTTGTAGTACACTCTGCAGCAGTCGTTGCTGCAGTTGTTGCTGCTGCTGTTGTTGCTACTGCAGCTATTGTTGCTGTTGCTGCTGCTCCTTCCGCTGCTGCTGCTGCTGCTGCTGCTGGGGTTGCTGCACAGACACCGTGTAGACCCCCCGAAGACGCAGCTGCTGCTGTTGAAGCCACAAGGCTTGGTGATAGTCTTATAGTTAGAGCTGCAGCGGCTGCTGTCGCCGCTCGTGCTGCTGCTGTTGCTGCTGCTGCTGCTGCTGCAACAGCCTGCAGTTGCTGCTGCTGCTGCTGCTGCAGCTAAGCCCAATACACCTCCTCTTGAGGCACCACAAAGCGCAGTATTTGCTGGTGGTAATAATATTAAAACAATTTGTTATTGCTGCAGTAGAGCAGAAGCAGCAGCAGCAGCAGCAGCAGCAGCAGCTTCTGCTGCTGCTGCTGCGAGACTCAGCGGGGAGAGGGGCCCCCGGGGCCCCCCAATGTACAGGTGCAGCTGCAGCAGATGATATTTGTTTTTGTATTTTTGTCTTTGAATTTATCTGTTACCTTCTTTACTTGTCTCCATAGAAGGGCCTGTGAAGCCTGCTGCTGCTGGTGGTCTGCTGCTGACATCTCGCTTGCTGCTGCTGCTGCTGCAGCTCCTGCTGCTGCTGCTGCTGCTGCTGCTGACAGTTGTGCTGCTGCTGCTGCTGCTGAGATATACAAAATTGTTGGCGTCGCTGCTGCAGTGTCATTCCGCCCAGCTACTAGCGGGCGCCTCGCTCCAGCAGCAGCAGCAGCAGCAGCAGCAGCAGTAACAACAGCGGCAGCAGCAGCAGAGGCGACATCAGCATCAGCACCAGCAGCAGCAACTGCAGCACCAGCAGCAGCAGCAGCAGGACCATCAACAGCATCAGAAAAAGAAGAAACAAAAGCGGCAGCAATAACAGCTGCAGCAGCACCACCAGCAGCAGAAGGAGCAGCAGCACCACCATCAGCAGCAGCAGGAACAGCAACCCCTCCAGCAACAGCAACAGCAGCAGCAGCAGCAGCAGCAGCAGCACAAGCAGCAGCAGCAGCAGCAAGATACAAGGGTCGAATGGTTCCGCGTCAGCTCGGGTTAGGTGGGGGCCCCCCTAGGGGCCCCCAGTCATCTTCAGCAGCAGCAGAACTAGGCCCTGCTGCAGCAGCAAGCAGCAAAGGTGCTGCAGCAGCAAGCAGCAAGCCACGAGAAAGCAAAAGAGTTGTTGCTGTTAAGTTTTCTTTTATGGCTATTCTTTTTATTTGTGCTGTTGGGGGACTGGCGCTGCTCTGCTTTAGTCTACCGGGTAAGAATGCTGCTGCTGCTGCTGCTGCTGCTGCTGCTGCNGCTGCTGCTGCTGCTGCTGCTGCTGCCGCTGCTGCTGCTGCTGCTGCTGCTGCTGCTGCTGCTGCTGCTGTTTATGCTGCTGCTGCTGCTGTTAATGATGCTGGTGCTGCTGCTAGTGCTGCTGTTAGTGTTGCTGCTGCTGATACAGGTGTTTGTGCTGCAGTTTCTACTGCTGCTGTTGTTGCCGCTGCAGTGCTGTTTGCTGCTGCTGCTGCTGCTGCTTCTACTCAACCTGCTGCTGCTGCTGCTGCTGCTGCTGTGTTAGGGTTAACTGGCGAGGCTCGTGCTGAGCTGGAGTCTGTGTTGCCTCGTTCTTTGAAAGAAGTGTCGTCGCTGCGAGACGTAAAAAAGCTGCGGCAGCTTTGTGCTGCAGTTGCGGTGTATAGACAGCAGCACCCCGTTGCTCTTGCTGTTCTTCTTTCTTATATTTATCTTCTCTATCAGGCTTTCCCTCTCTTTATGCTCCCTTTCTCAGGCACGCAAACCCTAAACCCTAAACCCTAAACCCTAAACTCATAGATACATATACAGCCGACGGGATAGGGTTTATTTTCTAGGTTTTAGTTTAGGGTTTAGGGTTTAGGGTTTAGGGTTTAGTGTGTTTTGGTTGTCATATATCACGGCTAAGTCAATCCCCCCTATCTATTGAAACCCTGCAGCCTGAAACACGCTTGCTGCTCCTTCTTCTGCTGCTGCTGCTGCTGCTTCCCCTCCTGCTGCTGCTGCTGCTGCTGCTGCTGCTGCTGCTGCAGGGTTAGCTATGGCTGTGACCGTGCTGCTGGGGGCCCTGTACAGCCCCGTGGCTGCCTTCTTGCTGACCTCTCTGCTCGCCGCGGTGGGGCCCAGCCTCGCTTACTATATTTTCAAGGCAGCAGGGAGGCCCCTTGTTGTGAGCGCTTGCTGCTGCTTCTGCTGCTGCTGCTGTTGCTGCTGTTGTTGTTGCTGCGGTTGTTGCTGTTGCTGGTGTTGCTGCTGTTGTTGCTGCTGTTGTTGCTGCGGTTTTTGCTGTTGCTGGTGTTGCTGCAGCTGTTGTTGCTGCTGCTGCTGTTGTTGGTGCTGCAGTTGTTGTTGTGGTTGCTGCCGTTGCTGTTGTTATTTTTGCTGCTGCTGCTTCTATTGTTGTTTTTGCTGCTGCTGCTGCTATTGTTGCTGCTGCTGCTGCTGCTGCTGCTGCTGCTGCTGCAGGTGCGGTTCTTTCCCCAGCAGCTGCAGCGCATGCGTCGTATGGTTCACCCCAGCCTTTCGAGCACACATGA